TAGCTGACTCGCTCTAGGGATACTGCGGAACGACCAAAGATCACTGCCAAGCTCCTGACTGCTTGATTGACTTTGGCCCGGCTTGCGACGCCAACAAGACACCTGGTGGAGCCAGCACACGCAACGACCCCCGTCCTCAGAGGGGCAGCGTCGCATACGGAGGTGGTGGTGTCTACGCCTGCAAGAAGGCTGGCACTGTCGCCATTACCTACGATGACGGGTAGGCTCATTCACAACCCCACGCATTGATAGCACGACTAATCAGCATCCAGCCCATACATCTACACCGACCGCGTCCTCGACCAGTTCGCCACATATGGCTTCAAGGCCACATTCTTCGTCACGGGAATCAACCTCGGAAAAGGCGCAATCGACAGCACAGCGCAGTGGTCCAACGTGATCAAGCGTATGGTTGCCGAAGGTCACCAAGTCGCATCCCACACATGGTCTCACCAGGATCTTAGCCAAATCACCGATGCGCAGCGCTACGACCAGATGGTCAAGAACGAAATGGCCATTCGCAACATTATCGGAAAGTACCCCACATACATGCGTCCTCCTTACTCGTCTTGCAACGACGCTTGCCAGGCAGTGATGAAGAACTTGGGATACGTAGTCAGCTACTTCGACTTGGACACGGATGACTACAACCAGCTATCAAACATCCAGGTTGCCAAGAACAACTTCAAGAACAAGATTGATACCACCGTTGGTGGTCCCGCCTCAGGTCACCGCCTCGCTATCGCCCACGACATCCATGAGCAGACTGCTCTCAACCTTACTGGTTACATGCTCGAGTACCTCAAGTCAAAGGGCTACCGCGGTGTCACTATGGGCGAGTGCATGGGTGAGCCCGAGGCGAACTGGTACCGTACTGCCACTTCCGGCGGCTCTACTACCCCTCCTGCCTCCGGCGGCGGCGGCGGCAGTGGTACTGCTGTTTCCACTGACGGATCTTGCGGCTCAGGCAAGGGAACGTGTGCTGGATCTACCTTTGGCAACTGCTGCTCTCAATACGGCTGGTGCGGATCATCCACTGATCACTGCAGCGCCGGCTGCAACTCTGCCTTCGGAACCTGCACTGGCACTGGTGGCAGCGGTGGCGGCTCAACCACCCCCGCCCCGGCTAAGAAAGTCTCTACTGATGGCACTTGCGGAACTCAGGGTGGTGCTACTTGCGCTGGTTCAACATTCGGTAACTGCTGCTCGCAGTATGGATGGTGCGGATCTACTTCGGGCCACTGTGGTTCTGGATGCCAGAGCGGATCCGGCACTTGCAACTAGAACTTCGTTCATGAGAGCAGTGTTGAGACCTTACTCGTGTAGAGGCAATGCTCGTAACGCAGCTCTGTATGCGTGTTAATATATGAAAATAATACAAACAAATACCCATACTCTTACAACACCTGACTTCTCTGCAACTGTGTGATCATTTCGAGGGACGATAACATATAGTCAATTAGGAGCAGTATTCAGGACGTGGTCGAGATATGTGAAGACGGCGAAATGCACTTCGCAGCGCACACTTGAAGTGTTCGCACATTTCACCGAATACATGGTCGTGGCTTTGGCAGCAATGGAATTCCAGAGACTGATCACAGTGTGTTTATGAAGAGCAATGTCTACATCTTTTCGGCAACAAATTTGCAAAATCCTCATCGTACGCACTCCAGCAAAGGTGTACCGAAGAACTCTACCGATTTCACACCATCAAGCATTTACTTCGACTAGTCATCTCCCCTAACTATTTCTTTCGAAGACCATGGCATTAGCGGTACTTCCCGCAATCATCGTCAGCTTTGTGATCGTCGTGGCATCGCTCGGTACATTCTACATTTACAGGGCATACAGGCGCGTGCGCTATGCAGTCCATGATGTAGAGCGCACCCGCCATATCGAAATCGCCGGCCTCTCGCAACAGCGGCCCATTGAACTCCGTGACCTCGAAGGTCCGCGCAAACAATACCATAGCGGTCAGTGGTACGGCTCCGAGGGCGTAGTTGCCACACACGTCGCACCCACTGCGAAACCACTGCCGCATACTCCGGAGATTGAGTACTCAGGAGGGGAAGGGCTTGTCAGACCTCCTGGGCGAGTCTTCCTATCCACTGAGGTACAGCAACCTGAGCTACTCTCTCCAAAGCCTCTGCGCACGGTGACCAAAAGGCCGAAGGTAGAGCCTGCGAGTACCGCATATGACTCAGATCAAACAGCAGCGTCAGAAATATGGAACAAGATCGAGAAGGGCGAGCTGGAACCCTCACGACGTAAGGCGCAGAAGAAGTCACCAAAGAAACAGAATGCACCAAAACCCGAAGTACTCCGAGATCCTTCAGAGTTTGAGCGCGACACCATGGCAGACGACGACGTTGATAGTAGCACCAGAGAATGGGCAAAATCCAATCGCCCCGCGCTGCCTTTCACACCACGCGCAAACAAACGCGAGTCGTCTGACAGCATGGCTACGATTGTCGAGGCCAACAACGCGAATATTGAACGCCCCCAGTCATACGTCAAACGCAAACAAAGCATTGGCACAGGAGCGATCAAGCCGACTGAACCGCTAGATCGAGCTGCAGAGGCGCGCCGCCAGATGGCGGAAAGGAAGAAGCAAATGGTGGAAAGGCAGAAGCAAGAGGAAGCTGATCGTCTAGCAGAGGAGCAAAGGCTGGTAGACGAACAAAAGCAGCGCGCAGCTGAACAACAGAGACTAGCTGAAGAGAAGCAGCGACAGGAAGATGAGGAAAACGCCCGCTCGTTGGCACAAGTTTCCGATGACGAAGATATTGATCTAGACAATAAGAGGCCCTCTGACTCTCAAAGACCGCGCACTCGCCGGAGATCCGACTCTTCTTCCAAGTCGAAGCGTGAGCGCAAGAGTCGTGAAACGTTGCTTACACGAACTCCCAAGCGAGCATATACCTTCGCGAATGACGCTTCTGATGGTATCGATAACCCCAACACGGACGAAAAGACCGCTCGAAACATTAAAGGAAGTTCTAGGAGCATGAGTATGAACGATCAGGCAAGGCCAGACTTCAACGCGACGATGCCGTCAATTGCAGAGGGGGCTCATGTCGACCCTTTCTCTGACAACGCAGCAAGACGGTCGTACGGCTCCACCAAGAAATCTGTTTCGTCAATGTACTCTCCCGATCACATTTCATTAAACGATGGCGAAGGAAACTACACCTCGAGGCCTGCCGACTACAAACGTAGGGCCGCGCCTGAAGACACACTGGAGAACCCGTTTGCCTCTGACAACGACCCCCAAGACCCCTTTGCGACAGCGCAGAGATCATCGGCTGCGTCAAGCAACGACAGTCGAGTGTCATTCTCGCAAGTAAAGCGAAGATCGAACGCCTCCAGCAATGAGAGTAGAAACAGCTCAGGTACAAATTATCCCAAACGTAGCGACAGTAAAGCTAGCGCAAAGAATCGTGCTTCTGTGGATAGCCAAAGCAGTCAGCAGTCGGCCCGCGGCCGTGAAAAACCTGAACGAAAGCCATCTGTCGCATCCCGTGCATTCAGCAAGATCAGTCGCAAGTCTTCATCTTCGGACAAGAAGAAGGAAAGGGACTCCGCGAGCTCGACACAATCTCGGGAAAATGAAGGACCAGGATTGCGGGGTGGAGGAAAGATGTACGTGGAGGAGCCGGAAGAGCTGTCATCGTCAGAGGATGAGCATGAAGACAGAACCAAGCAAGAGCATAAGGTGAAGAACGGGGTGGAGATGCGTGGCGGTTCAGGAGAAAAGGACGAGAGCGAGAGTGAGGTTGAGGTTGAGACGGAGCACGAAGACGAAAGCGACGCTGCCGAGGTCGGACATTCGGAGGACGAACATTCGGATGTGAGCTCGAGCGATGAGGACGAGATCGAAAGCGAGAAACACGACTCCTCCGAAGAGGAAGGCTCAGGCGATGATGATGACGCATCCGAGGATGGGGATTCGGAGTCCGAAATCTCTGATGCGGGCACTTCTGACGCCATTACTTCGGATGACGAATCTGAGGAGGAGGTCTCGGATGATGAGCAGGGCCCGGTACTGAAGAAGCCGATTGAGGTCGTGGGTGTCCCAGCTGGGAACGCGGGCAGGGTCAAGGCGTGATGCATCGATGACCGTATTTTCCTTTCCGCTGGTAGGGTTCCGCAGGCGTGACTCTCTCTTGCGCTCTTCGCACATATCTGTATTTTATTTGTAGTCGTGATAATAACTGATACCTGTGTTTAATTCATTGTTCATGTAAAAACAGCATCCATTACCTCGCTGCCTACTCTTGATAGGAGAGAAGATGCACACATGTGATACATGAGCTAATAGTCTAAAGGATACTCGCACCTTATACAAGAAAAAAACTAAACAGGCCTGCGGGCTACATTAAGACAAAAACCTACAAAGTAGGTAACCTAACAGCAACGTAGGCTCTAGGGTGTTTAGTTTTTTCTTAGATTGGCGTGCTTGTGGCGACTGATTTGCTCCATATTGCTCATATCGCACGACCTCATGTGCCATCTCTAGACACGCTCGTCCAGTCCCCAATCCCCTCATCATAGATCAAACGAAAGTACACTGTCACATTCAAGACGACTCATGCAAGAGGACAATGCAATATATTCCCAGAATGCCCATACCCATGCTACCAAATGCTAAATCGACCTGGTATCCCCAATCTTGCCCAATCCAGCCAAAAGCAAACGCCTGAAATGGAGACATCACAGCCTATCCCAAGAAAAAGTCAATCGTACATCATGAGGTAGTGCCTAGATCATGACATACAACGCCCGCCCGCCAACCGAAAAGAAAACGCTCATGTACCAATGACCCGGAAAATCGCTAACAAAACAAGGGAAGAAGGAAGGAAGGAAGGAGTTGAGAAGGAACGAATACACACATGAGGATTAAAAATAATACTAAAGACTCTGGTATAAAGACAAGGCTTAAAGCGAATGCATGTTGATGGAAAGGAATAGAAAGAAAAGGTTAACGAAGGGTCTCAATATCAAACTTTTGGTCCTTGCGAACCGTGACCTGTGGTCTTCTTCTGCTTCTGCTTCTGATGCTCGCGTGTGTAATCAATAGTTTGGTCAAAGAAAATGGAGTGAGTGAGGTAGTCGGAGAGATCGTTTGATGCTTGTTTGTCGTCATCGTCATCGTCGTCTTCGGCTGGTGATAAGTAATCGTCGTACGAGGGATCTTTCGCTCGCTTATTCGATAGCTTGTCCTTGGATGACGAACTGATGGTATGTGGTTTCTTGGAGGTGTGTTTGGCGTCGGTCGAAACAATATCCATAGAGTCGACAGCTTTTGGCCCTGCGTACGGACTGCGTCTACTAGGCGCTCGAATGGTGGTATTTGAGTTCTTCTCTTCTAGAGCTTTGTCTTGGACGTCTTCAACGCTCAGCACGTTTGCCGGTCCAACGCTCGGTATTGGCGGAGGTGGCATCGATGCGCGCGCCTGCTTCTGCTTATCTTGTTTGCGTGGGGATGCCGGGATGGTGAATATGGGAATGGGCTCCGGCTTGATCTGCAGCTCGGCTGCACGCACGCCCTCACCAAACTTGGGGGCTCCTTTCTCATCCCAGAGTCGCTCGTCGATCCTTGCCTCATCTTCGCTAGTAAAGTTGAGGTCTTTGATGCTTTCGTCAAGACTGTGGCGTATTCGCTCGCTTTCAGACGATACCCGCTCGGAATCTCCGAAGCCTGAATCTTGATGCATTGGCATACGGTACCCTTGCGCTATTGAGAAGCCCGTGTCAACTCTGCGTGAAGGTTCTGGACGATCGAAAACAGAGAAGCCGGTGCTGACGCGCGACGGAGGGGAAGTATTGGAGGCGGAAGAGTCCATGGCAACGTCGTATTCCAGGTTGGTGAGCACTCCAGAGGCAGGAATCTGGAATTTTCGACCTTCTTCGTAGCCCGGCGAAGCATCAGAATCTAAGTATCCTTGATCCGGCTGTGTCTGTGCCAGTTCGTGTACGCGAGTGCTAAAGGAGGCCTTGTTGCCAAACTCTCGATGATCCTGATCAGACGATCCTTGTGCGCTGCTTCGCATTGAGTGTGGCTGGAGTCCACCAACAAATGACACGCTCAGCGGAGCGTCGTCGGCTGGTCTGCCCCCAAGAAATGAATTCTCCATCTCGTCTGGTGGGCTTGTGATACATATGTCTTTCGGCTCTTGGGTGACAAAATCATGGACGTCAAGGTCGGCGCATCCTCGCTGAACAAGCTTGGTATCGCCGTCAACGTAGATCTGCTCCCACCTCGTTTCTCTACTGGCTGGCAGGCTTGCAAGCTCATTCTCGAGCTCCGAGTCGTCGAGCGACATGACGGACCGATGGCCGGGATAAGGCGAGTATTCGCTTCGTCTGTTTCTCTCGCTAATGCTCAAGGGGCCAGCAGACCGCCCACGGTCGGAGCGGTTGTCGGGAATGATGTATGAGCCAGAGGATGCGGGGTATTCTGTGCGCGGTATGTTGATTTCCTCGAATGACGACTGCTGTCTGGAGTGGCGGCGGTGTTTGGATATATCCTCGAGGTCGACTGCCGTCCTGGGGTCGATGTACTCCTTGTCGCTTCGATGTGTAGAAACACTGCTTCTTATGGCAGCCTTGGGCTTGAAGTCCCGATCTAGTATATCGTCAGGGAATTTCTTAAGCAGGCTTGCCGCTGACGGTCTCCCTTGGGGTGAGTCACTGAGCAGGGCTCTGATAATATCGCGGAAGTAGACCGGTACATCTGTGTTTGGTCGATCGAGGGTGCGAGTTAGTGGTCGCTGTTGGCGCTCCGGCTCGTCTTGCAGTTCGGCCAGCGCCCACAATACCATGCCCAGTTGAAAGAGATCTGACTTGACGCCGATGTATATTGTTACACGCTGTCCGCTTTCGACCAGCCTAGCCAGCTCAGGTGACTCCCAGCCGACAGGGCAACCGCGACGGTTGATATCGATGATCTTGGCGTTGTCGTCGTTGTCTATAACGATGTTTGAGAGAGTGAAGTCGCCTTGCACAAATCCAGCTTCATGAATTTCGGACAGACCCTCGACGATTTGTCGTGCCCACCGCTCGCGGCGTTCCCAGGTGAGTTGGCCCATGGGCTTGTATTGGCTTGTGGGCTTGAAGTCGTAGATGACGTCCACCAGCGCGCCCAGCTCGGCATAGCTAATGAGTAGCCCTTTGATGAGCTCGTTCTGCTCATCGACTATGACGCCTTCGAATCTGATGACTGACTTGGATTCTTGCAGGCTGACGAGAGCGTTGATCTCATATAAAAACTCCTCGACCGCGTCTGGACCCGGGATCTCCTTCTTAATGTACGTATTGTTGTTGACGGAGACCTTGTATACGAAGCCTGAGATATGAGAGTCGAAAGAGATGGCGCTCTCTCGGAAGCGCTTGCAGTCGAGGTGTTCGATGGCTGACGTGGGCGGGTACGGGATAGCCTCGTTGATATCCTCGGTGACGTGTACATGGAGACGACCGTCGGCAGTTTCGAGCTTGAGGTTTGTAACGGTGTCGTAGAACTGGATATCGGGTAGGGAGTCGCGGATGGCTTCGTAGATGCGCTTGCTCTTGTCGCGTTGGTAGTGCATTGTCTTGAGATCAGCCTCGAGTGAGTCGGCCTCGAGATGCCGGTAGTCGCACGATACTGTAACCCGCCTCCATTTGGTGGGCTCCTCGGCAAAGGTGACGAAGAACTTCTCGCGGTCCGACAGGTCGCGGAAGTGCATGCTGAGGTTGAGGATCCACTTTGCTTCGAGCTCCTCCTGCAACCGTACATCGTCGATGTCTGAGCCTGAGTGATGGGAGCCGCGGTCCGAAAAGGCGTCTGCGACTTCCACTGGCGGGAGTTGTGGGGGTCCCTCGATTGTAGACATTTCGCCGGCCGACATGTAGTCTTCGGGTTCTTCAATGCCATAGTCGACCTGGCGCGCGCCTGCTGGTATGTTGGAGTCGGGACCGCCGCCAATGGTGCGCTCTATACTGGGGAATGACTCCATTTCTGGCAATGACTCCTTCTCCTTCTCGCTATGACTCTCGTGCGGACTCAGCACGTCTGGAGCGGACATGGACGGCACAGACATAGGCGGGGGCGAGGGGTTTCGCTTCGAGGGCACGGAGCTCTTGCGGTCTTCCGAGACAGCTCTTCGATGTTCCGTCTCGGGCACCTCGAGCAGCTTGTCTCTCTTCTCGCTCTGCATCCGCTTGAAGGTCAGGGGCCTCGGCAGACCTGGGATGACTTTCCTGCTGCCTCTCCGCCCCAGCAGTCCACCGCTCGAATGGGGCCTCGTGATCTCCTTGCTGTCCTTGTTCTCTTTGCTCTCCTTGGTCATGCTCTCAGACATCCTGGGCTTGGTGGGCGAGGGCGGTGGCGTGTGCTCGTCCTTCTTCAGCCAGGAGCCGATCTTCTGGAAGTTGAGGCGGTCCCACATGCTCCTATGCTCGCCCACTTCGGTGCGCGCGCGCTGGCGGCTGCGACTCCTGCTAGAGTCGCCATTGTCGGCCGATAGCAGCGGCATCTCTTATCCCCCTCTGCCAGCCTTCGGGCGTGACGATGGCGGGCGGGCGCGCTGCGGGGAGGTTCCTGGTCGGGGTGGTTCGATACGGGTCGACTGGATTGGTGCTATCGATTTGGCGCCGACTGCATGCTGTGTCGCGGTCCTGTGTAACTGTGGCTGTCTGCGTCCATGGATCTACGTGATGCTCCGTGCCACGCCACCTGCTCGCTGCGGATTCGAGGGCTGCAGATTCTGCACGACAATCTCCGTGCTAATGACGAAAATACCGCGGTCGTCTATTGTTGACGCCCAAGCGACATGCGCCCAAATGAGCAAACGGGCCGCAGGGCAATGCACGCGGATGTCGCTGGTGAGGCTCGGCGGGGGTCTGGTCAGGAGCAGGGCGGCGGCGAGGAGGCTGGCGGAGGTGTGCTAGAGGCGACGCGATGCAATGTGCGATGATGAGTCGTCCCAAGCAACATGGGATGAAGGCGACTGAGGCTGGGGGCGCGGAGCCAATGACAGCGCGCAGGCGGGCGAACGGTTGAACACCGCCTTAGCGTATCCCAGGCAAAGGCGCCAAATCACAATTCCAGAGGCGACTGTCGGCACCTCACACACGCCTAAGCCTTCGGTCCCAGGTGGAAGACAGCAGGCGGGAAAGAATCAAATAATGCAAAGGAGAAGTAAATTTTTGCAGCGCCCCCCTATGGTAGCCATGTATCTGCTGTACAGCTGGCGGTCAAGCGCCAACACCACATTGGACAGAAAAGGCCCTCTGCCTGCAGCGGCCGCAGCACCAAAATCCCGAATCTGGTCCTCTGCCTGTCAAATCAGGCGCGACGCCGCCCTGGGTCCCGCCGTGACATAGCACCGATTCCCTACCCATTGGCCCCGCGAGCCTGTGGCAGCCACTCTAGCAGACCTGCGGTGAGAGTCACACATCTCACCGTCGCAGCTGGCATGCTCAACCACCACCCGCTGCCTCTCCGACCCTTGGGAACCGCCATATTAAATTCCTGCTCCTGCTCCCTTTGCTCTTCCCTGCCTCAGCCGCCGCCCCTCATCAATTTTCACATCACCATATAGCCAAAACCCCTCATTTGGGCCTGCGTACATTAGTCGACGCGTAGACGAGGGCAGCTACTGCACCTCATGGTACTTGCGGGAAGGTACTCCGTCGTCGCAACAGTACACGAACTGCCCCACTCACCTGCTCGCACAAGGCACCGTTCCGGCAAGCTTCGAGTAAAGCTGCTGCTGCACCTCGGGGCCATCATGCTCGCTAATGTATCTCCATCCCTGACCTGGGTTGTACTTCCGGCTGTCTTCCCAACAACTTGAAGCCGTCCATCATGACCATCAAGTATGAACAAAGGACCTATCCCTTGCGCATCTTATCATTCCCATGCCTTGATCTGTAGTCCCTCACCCACTTCACCGGACCGCGCCATGCCGCCGCACATCACAGCCTCCACGACACGCCCAAGGACAAGCAAAACCACCAAAACAAAAAGTGAAGCTTCCTCACCACCGAAACAGCAAAGCCTGACAACAACCTCAACTTTTCCTAACCCCTGACTATGATTCGTTCCCTCCAGTTCGCAGTGTGCGTTGTTCACGCTCCTGACAATATATACCAGGCAACGCCCGTTGACACGTCAATGTGGTTCATGCACCAGACGAAGGAGTCGAGGGCTAACGCACACGGGCTGCGCGTAAGGCGCTGAAACATCACCACATCTTCTTCTTGTTTGCGCGCTTGTCTTGTAATAATCTAATTATAATAACTTTAATAGTACTTTAGGTAGTTAAGTATATAATAACTATAATTTACTAATAAATTCTAAGCTAGTATATTTTTATATATATCTATAGTATAGTAATAAGTTTTTAAAATAACTTTATAATAAGATAGTAGAACTATAGTTAAAGTTTAAGTATATAAAGTACTATTACTACTTATTCTAAGTTATATTATACTAACTTTATTTAAATTCTCTTTAACTACTAATATAGTAATAAAATACTATAATAGCTTAGTTTTTAGCTATAACTAACTATTTAAGCTACTAGTAGTAAGATATTTACTAAACTTTTAATTACTAAAAGTATAAAAAATAATTTAAAAAGTTAAAAAACTTATTAAAAACTTAAAAGAAAGTAAAGCTATTAAGCTAGCTATTATAATATTTAAAAAGATTAGTTTATATAAAGTAAGTAAAGTAATAATAAAGTAGGCTTACTAATTATTAAGTAGAAATCTAAATCTTAAGTAGTAATACTTATAGCTTAAAGAGCTACTAATTCTAAAAAGGTAAGAACTATTACTAGTACTCTAAAGAACGTATAACTAAATCTTTTATCTACTCTTAAAGGTATAGTATTAAGTAAGCTAAGGCTTAGAGCTTTAGCGCTACTATCTCTAAAGTAGTTAAAGCTTTTAAATCTTTTAGGCTAGCTAAGAAGCTATTCTATAAATACTAAATACTTTATAAAAGAATTATAATATAATTATATATACTTATTAGCTTATAACTAATAGAGTAATATATTCTAAAGCTTTATAGTTAGAATACGTATACTAAAATCTCTTTTAGTAAAAGTGCGCTTTTTTTATTCTTTATATTTCTATAATAATAATAATAATTAGAATACTAAAGATTTAAGATATAAGTAGCTTAAATCTAACACTAAACGCTGCGCTAGTTAAATAATTTATAAGTTTTCTTAGTACTTATAAGAATAAAACTAATCTCTTACTAGTGTACTAGTGTACAAGGTGTTCTTATATAAATTAGATCTTTAATAACCTAAGAATTACTTAGAGAGAGAACGTTTTTTAATAAAAGCTTTTTAGAATTATATTATTATCTACTATTTTATCTTTTACTTATACTTTTTAGTATTAGACTTTTATATAATACTTTAAATAATAGAATCTCTTTATAATAAAACTCTTTTTTACTAAACTAATATCTATATACTTTCTTACTTATACTAACTATTTTATATTTTTATAGTAATATATTTTTATACTTTCTAATACCTATATAAATAGTAAAGCCTATAGAGATATATTCTACTACGTAGTATAAGAAGTAGTTAGTATATATTAATATAACGTATATAGTAATAATAACTACTATAGATATAATAAGTATAAACTTAGCTCTTTTCTTTAAGTTAGCTAGAACTATAATAGTAGTTGTATTTAGGCTAACTATATTCTTACTACTAAGTAATATTAGATAAAATAATTACGTAGATAAGGTAACTACTTAGAAATACTAAAAAACACTAATTTAACTAATACCTAGAATAGTAATATTAAAAGTATAATAAAATGCTAGGCTAGCTAGGTTAATATAATACTATAATAGTATATTTAGAATATATACTAGTGTAGAACTATAGTTTAATAGAACTAATAACCTAATAAAGTATTATAGTAAGTAAAACGCTAAGCTATACTAACTATAAAGGTATTTAGAAAGTATTCTCTACTATTAGATAAAAGGTATTAAATACTATTAAGTATTTAGAACTTATCTTTTAATTATATAATTTTTATAGTATAAGATCTATTTAGTATTTAAGCTATTAAGTAAAGAAGTATTAGCTTTTTTATAAGTTATTTAGAACTATAATAACTACTAAAGAAATAAAAAAAGTATAAAATATTAAAAGATCTAGTAATTCTCTCTTCTAAGTATTTATTTACTACTTCTTTAACTACTTTAATACTAAAGACACTAATTTCTAGAACTATCTCTAAAGTAAAGAGTATATTATTATTTATAATAGTAACTAATAGTGTAGTCTCTATAGTTTACTCTAGATACGCTATTTTAGTCTTTACTAGTAATAATATTACTAAGTTTCTTAAAGACTATAACTAATAAGCTAATAATAAAGGCCTCTCTAATAAGATAAGAGTCTCTATTCTTCTAGATTATATTAGTAATAAGAATTACTTTATTACTTATATTATTAAGCTTTTTACTAGTTATAAGAAGAAAAACTAGGCTAAGCTTAAGGCAAATATAAAGAAATACTAAGTAGATAAGAATACTACTATTAAGATAGGTAAGCGCTTATACTTATAAGCTTTTATCTATAAGTATATAAATAATCTATCTAGTCTTACTAAGTATTATACTTACTTCTATATAATAGTAGAAGCTTATATTACTAATAAGTAAGTTCTATAAAAGAAACTTAGCTTTCTCTTCTACTATAAACTTCTAAAGTATAATAAGTAGATAGTTACTTTTATAATATCTAATACTTCTAAAGGTAATAATTAAGCTAAGTACTATATAGATAAGATCTATACCTTTTTTAAGAAATACTATAAAAAGAATAATACTATTAATAATATATATACCTAGAAATATAGAGGTATAAATACTAAGATAAAGCGTATTATACTTACTAATAAGTGTACTACCTTTAATCTAGAGAAGGTAAAAAGTGTTATTACTAATCTTAAGAAGTAATAAAAGAAGTAAGAATCTCTACTTTTTTCTAATATAGATTCTAAGATAAAGTAACTTATAACTTTACTAAATAGACTAAAGCTTAACATAGATATAGTTTATTTCTTTATAGCTTACTTATTAGTTACTTTAATTTTTAAGAACTTTTATAATACTTTATACTTTATAGGCTATATAACTAAGAAAGAGCTCTTTATTAAGAAAAATAATAGTTCTTTTATTACTAAAGTATCTAAAAATATAGCTTCTAAAAGAGAAACTATTTAGTATAGAAAGACTAAGTATACTAATACTTACTATATATATAATAAGAAGAGTTATAAGATTACTAATTATAAACTCTATAATAACTTTTATAATCTAGGTTAGATTAGTTACTATTAGAATAGTAAGCGTAAGTAAGAAATATACTATTTTAGCTTACTCTATAATTACCTTAACTAAATCTTTAGTACTTTTTTATTAACTTATAAGCTTAAATAGCTTAAGTCTAAGATTAAGAAGTATTTTAATATTACT